AAGGAGGAGGCCAGAGGGGATGGGGTGGGGGGGACAGAGATAAGACAGGCCGTTAGTCTGTGCATTCCTCAACTTCACCCAAGAGATCACCTTTTGAAGTAAGTTAGTATGAAATTTGTCTGGTTGGGTTGGGGTTCCCCCCCACCGCCCCATTTAGAGGACATTATGCCAAGTGAAGTCAGTCAGTCAGTCACAAAAAGACAAATGCTGTGTAGAAGAACTATGATAAAAAGCTAGAGAAAGGCTTACCCATAGAGAGAGACATCCTAGTGTGGTTACCAGGGAGGGGGAAGGGGAACAGAAAATGAACTAACAGACAGGACACACTTATTAAGATGGGTGAAGGGGAAAATAATACAGAATGAACGGACATTGTGTGCATGGTACTTGATGTTAAGGAACAAAATGTGCATGATTCGGGGACCCCTCCCAACAACTCAATATGCTTTAAAGACTAAGGTGCGCCTGATCCAGACCACCATGTCTTTGCAATCACTAGCTATGCATCTGAGAGCTGGACAATGGCTAAGGATGACAGAAGAAGAATTAAGGCCTTTGAGCTCTGGTGCTGGAGGAGAGCACTGAACATCACATGGACGCCAAGAGAACAAACAGATACATGTCTCAGAAAAAAATGCAGCCAGAGTGATCCGTAGAGACAAGAATGATGTAGCTTCGTCTCACATCCCTTGGGCATGTGGTTGCTGCTGCTGGGTACCGTCGACTTGGAACCAACCCATAAGTGACCCTCAGGCAGGTTTCCTGACAGTAAACTGCATGGGAGAAGACTGCCCATGTAGCTCCTGCAGAGCAGCTAGTGGATTAGAACTGTGCACCTTTGGGTTGGCAGCACAATTCCTTACCACCAAGCTACCAGAGCTCCCTTGTCGTTGTTGTTGACTGCTGTTGAGTCGAGCATGACTCATAGCAACCCTATGAACAAAAGGCTCGAAGCCTTTTCTGTAACAATCGTCATTTATCAAAGTTCACTGAGTCTCCAGAGAGCTCCCTCAGGAAGGGATTATTCCTTAGAAAGGGCTATCATGCTTGGAAAGGTGGAGGGTCAGTGAGAGAGAGGAAGACCTTCAATGAGATGGGCTGACACAGTGACTGCAGCAATGGGCTCAAGTGTGTCAGAGACTGTGAAGATGACACGGGACAGGACAGGGCTCAAAGGGTTTCTATGACTCATAATCAACTTGATGGCACCTAACAACAACAGCAACAACATACTTTGAAAATCTCTACTCAAACTGCTCACACACACATACACATGTTTTTGCTCAAAACACATATACACAAAAGAAATGAAAAGAGGGTGGAATGCAAAACATCCCAACTCAAGGTCACGTCTTTAACGGAGAGAATTCCCAGTCTCCCCTCCTCTCACTTTTTCTCTGAGTTTCTCTGCCTCACACACCAGGCATGCTCCTGCCTCTCAGCCTTTGCCCTTAGCTGTCATCCGCTGCTGAATCAGCCTCTAGCTCACTGGGACCCCGTGCACAAAGGAAGAAAATTCTGCTCAGTGCCGAGCTGTCCCCAGGACTGCATGGGCTGTGCCACAGAGGGTTTTCACTGGTTGAATTTTCAAAAGTTCATCATCAGGTTTTTCTTCCTAATCTGTCGGTCTGGTAGTTCCTCTCACACCCACTCAGCATTAGAATTACACACAGGCCACTGCTGAGAGAGCCAGGCAGTGGCCGAGCTTGAGAGGTGTGGGACGGGACTCAAACTTGGGTCTCCCGCACGGACGGTGAGAATCCTACCACTGAGCCACCACTGTCCACATGGCACCTGCTCCAAAATACAAAAGCCACTGCTGCCAGTCCCTTCTGATTCCTGGTGACCATCTATTATGTTTCCGGCCCTGGAAACTGGATTGTAAATCTTGGGTGGAGACTGCACTGCAGCTGGTTGATTTGAACTGCTGAAATGATGGTTAGCAGGCCCACAGGGTCACTTCTCTGAGCCTGTGTCTAAAGGAATCTTAAAAGACGTCATCCCACAGGTCACCGTGAGGTTCCAAGGAGATAATGAGCATACAGTTCTCAGCCCCTGCTGCCTCACAGACGGGCAAGGGCCACTGGGCTATTCTTATCCTCAGGTTCTGTCTGCAGACCTTTCATAAGAGAGACCCCATGCGTCCTCTCTTTCACGTAACAGAGACAAGTTTCCCCAGGGAAAGGGCTGGCAAGCAGTGTCCCCCAGCCCAGTTGTGACAGATTCTCTTTGGAAGGCGCCTCTGTTAATTCCGACACAAGCTTAATGTGTGTCTTTTAAGACTAATGAGATGGTTAGTTTGATTTCTCGCCCCCGCCAAGTTCCGCCTAATACTCTCCCTGTGTGTGGGCAAAGCACGCGTTGCCACCTCGCTGAGGGGGAAGCGGGCACCGTTAGGATCTAAATGAAGGGCCTCAGGAAGGGAAGTATCACAGGTTCATCCAGCACGAGCAGAGCAAAGGCAGGCCTGTCCCAGGAGGGATTCCCATAATCTAATAAACCAGTGAACACACGACCAGGAATAGAGCCTGAATGCTAGCAAGCCTTATCCAGCGGGGTCCACGTCAAGAATTCTAAATGATAAGAACTGAGGGGGAGGGAGGGGGGAAAAACATCGGGAAAAACAAAAATCCCATACAGTGTATAAAAAGCAAAAAGAAGCTCTCTGGTTCCCTCCTCCCAATCAAACAAAACTGTGGTAAGTGGAGTTCTATGTCACTGACATCAAGGGTAGTCTGAACCTGTCAGCTCTCTGTGGCCAAAAGCTGGACCATGTAGATTTTTGGACATTTGATAAAATGCTTACAATGCACAGGTGAACAAGGGCAGCAAAGCAAGAGAAGAGCAGCTGCCACGATGGCGTGATGACCCCGGTGTGTCAGAGCAGGACTGTGCTCCAGTGGGCTTTCAGTGGCTGTGGACCCCACACCCTGGCTGGCTCTGTCCTCCAGTACCTGCAGCCCCAGTGGATGGTCCCCACACCCTGGCTGGCTCCGTCCTCCAGTACCTGCAGCCCCTCTTCATGACCCCCCACACCCAGGCTGGCTCCACACTCCAGTACCTGCAGCCCCTCTGGATGGTGCCCACACCCTGGCCGGCTCCGTCCTCCAGTACCTGCAGCCCCTCTTCATGACCCCCCACACCCAGGCTGGCTTCACACTCCAGTACCTGCAGCCCCAGTGGATGGTCCCCACACCCTGGCCGGCTCCGTCCTCCAGTACCTGCAGCCCCTCTTCATGACCCCCCACACCCAGGCTGGCTCCACACTCCAGTACCTGCAGCCCCAGTGGATGGCCCCCCACACTCAGGCTGGCTCTGCCCTACAGAACCTGCATTGAGCTCTGCCTCAGCATTGCCTGGTGGGGCATGTGGTCATAACCAGTGAAGGGCAAGTTTCACATCTGGGGGTGATGATACCCCTCCATGAACCACCCTCGACCACTCAGGAATGGAGATGGTTATGTGCTGTCAAGTCGTTTGTGACTCATAGCGACCCTATGTACAACAGCCCTAAATCCTGCTCTATCCTGTGCCAATCTCATTGCCTCTGACACACCCATCCTGATTACCCTAGTCACTGAATCAATCCACCTCATAGAGGGTATTCCCCTCCTGTGCTGTCCCTCCACCCTCCCAAGCATGATGTCCCTCCATAGATGTTGCTGTTGTTGTTATGTGCCGTCGAGTCATTTGCGACTCATAGTGACCCTATGTACAACAGCCCTAAATCCTGCTCTATCCTGTGCCAATCTCATTGCCTCTGACACACCCATCCCGATTACCCCAGTCACTGAATCAATCCACCTCATAGAGGGTCTTCCCCTCCTGCGCTGTCCCTCTACTCTACCCAGCATGATGTCCCTCTCTAAAGACCTGTCTCTCCTTACAACATGTCCAAAGTATGTCAGGCGAAGCCCCAGAATCCTTGCCTCCAAGGAGCAGCCTGGTTTA